TAACAGATTAGATTTATTTGCTCAGTACAGATACACAATATATACAACTTATAATATCGTGTAGGTCTATCACCTACAGTTAAGCATCATAAGTTTTCATCACAGATACTCGCTTTCAATGGCAGCAAAATTAAACAAGTGTGATCATTTACATTATCCCAACATCCTCCATCTATAAAAGCAGATGTCTTATAAAACCCTCATCACAAATTGAACATCCTCGATGTATCAAATATCATCTTACTGTAGGTGGTAATGGCTTAATTTTTAAAAACATATAAAACACCCCATTGCTCCTTGTGTGCAATTTCCAGCTTTCATTGTAGAGAATACAAACGCAGAGAGAAATTTCTCTCTTTCGGGACATTTCCAGACCAAGGTTTCGTAACAGCTATCAGTCTTGTTCTAATGTGATAATAATATGTTCTTCAGAACAGCTGGGTCATGAGTCAGCCATTAGTGGGGGTCTGGTGTGGCCTATTTAGAGCCTTATGAAAATCCAACACAGATTAAAAGCCAGATAAGAAAATACCTCTGGGTGGGTATCTGTGTTAAAGTGCACCATTAGGGGGAGTTGGTACTACCATATCTGGTACTGTACAGTCTCTGCTCTTAGATATGATAACTAACCAGTACTAGTGTAAAATATGTTTGTTGTTCTTAAATACAAAAACATATGTTCTCAATTGAGAACAATAAGTTCAAGATAAACATTGTCATGCCTCAAAATTGTTTTAAATAAGACCCCGATTTCATATGTATGTGGGTAAAATCTAGACTTTAATGTGACAGTGAGTCACATTCACAATAAGTGACCTCATTAGCTATATAAGGACTTTGCTTGTATCCAAAACAAATACACAACTTGGTAGACCCAATCAGTGCAATTAAATAAAACTACTTAAGACACCAGAAAAAAAGATAAGGACTCATGAAGCCGATAGCTATGAAGCTAGGAGCCATTTTACCTCTTCTTTCTTTGCATCTGTTACTTTCTACACATTCATTCCTAACGGTTGGTTTAACTGTTTTAGTGATAAATTATGTTGTTGTTATTATTATTGTTGTATCCATCAATAATTATTTTCCTCTCCTTCCTGCATGTAATCCACAAATGGCTTCCTAGACCAGCCCTGGTCTCCATTTTCCTCTGTCCCCTCCAATCCTACCCAGGGTGGCACTGTATCTCGACACAGCCACCATCACCATGTTGTTCCCTTGGGAACATGAGAGCCACAGGAAAAAAGGGAATGTGTGTGTGAATGCTAATGTGAGCATGTTTTGGCCTAATATTTCCCAACTTTGCTCTCAAACTTACACATTTCTAAGGAACTGTACCATTAATAAGCTGTAGAAACTACTCGGTTTAGTCTTACCTCAAACTCAAAGTTACCAATCGTTCAAATCACAAAAGACAGTCAAAAATTTGTCCAGTAAAATAAAATGCATCTTCATAAAGATACACCTTCAATGATTTCATGCTGCTAAACCTACTTAGTCTAAAACATCTCTCTCTTTATAAGAGAAAAGACAGAAACAAAGTAATTTTACAAAAATAAATGTGTGTAGTTTGACAGTAAGACATTCAATATGCCATTTCTGTATACAACATTTCTGAACTACAGAAGGTACAAATAACATCTGGCAATGCTTCATGAATGGCAGCAAAAATATTTAACCAACATGTGAATCTAACACTACTGTACATCACACTCACATACTGTAAGCTCACAAAATACAGTACACTCAAGGAAAGTGATATGCAGCTAATAAAGCAATGACAGGTGATAACATTGTTAGCACCCTTGATAAAACATGTTAAACTGTCCAATTCAGCCAAAGATCACATCCTACGTGCTCATACAGACCGATGCACACACAAATAAATACATGCCAGAAATGAACAGTTTTGAGTTTTTGCTTCTGGCTATTTTCAGTTCAACAGAAGAACAATGGAGGAACCATGATTGTAAATCATAAACTTCTGGAGAGTAGCTAAAATAATCAATTAAAACAAACTACACAACAAATCTAGTTCAGGTTATTCCGTACTGAATGTGGAATTAAAGGCTGGCTAGTGAACATTTTCATCTCTGCTCATGCATATATTTACCCGTCTGGACCCTCAAAAAACAGTCGTGCGTCTAAAAATTGAGCCCTCCGTGGCTGTTAAGGGATAATACTTTCCCAACAGTTCATTTTCATTTGTATATCAAGACAACAAGGCATCTCTAACCCAAACAAAATGCAATCGACCTACTGTATACAATGCTTGTGTAAAATCCACTTGTATGTTACTAAATCTTCATAGAATAGATGTGTAGAAAAAAAAATCTTTGGTAGATAACATAAGCTACATTAAATTTTATCTACTGTGATGCGAGTCTCCACAGTTCAAGACTGAGATAATTTTACACAACTTTTGAGTTTATGACACAAAGTATGTACACATGGACTCATTTCATGTTACTATATGACTTGATTAGTTTGTATTAAGTGAAAAGGCTCAACAAAATTACACAATGGGACGAGATGATACAATATGTGTATGCACAGATGCAAACATACACAAATCAAGAGGTCAGTCCCTCTTTACAGTGCTGCACAAAGGTTAGCAGCCTTACAGAGAAATAGAGCTATTTGTCTGTTTTGCCTGCATGTGATCCTCCAGTGTTGCTGTGTGTTTCTGTGCGCACTAGTCCCTAAATGGAGGTACAACAATGCAGTCACAATACAGCACACACCAAGGATTTTAACACAGTAACTATTTGTAGTCAGCCCAATGATGTACAAACAGTGTACAGTAACCGTAAAAATATACCTTTTCTTGGTCTTTCTTTACCTATCTTATAAGTTTAGTTACACAATCTGAACTGAACAAAGGTGCAATAAAACAAAAGTTTAAACAATAAATTGAAAGAGAAACTCAAACTGTTTTTTTCTTAGGTTAACAGTCATAAATGGCATGTCATATATTGCTAACAGTGGGCTCAACATCAATAAATCATCAATAAATAATCTATATTTTTATTCAAAAGGTTTATCAATAGGCGTCTCATTGCATACATAAGAACTGAAACTATAAATTGATGTGTACTGGGTCCAGACATACATCATTTAATTTCTTTTCCCCCTAATTAATCAACCAAACAACCACTATGAAGAGATGACAAATACACAACACACAGACAATTACATCACTTTTAAAATAAATACTGAGGAGGGTAAGAGCACATACAAACATATTCAAAGAGTTTGCTGCTGGCAGTTCACCTCAGCACTACGTTACTAAATAACAGCAGTCAGCTGTTCCATATGCACTCCCTTTTTTGCATTCAGTATATATTGTGTTAGAAACAAATAAAGGTTACACTGTTTCACATACTACACATACAGCTTTACAGGAAAGCTTTCTTGTATCATTTATGTTGTTTTGGCAACATAAGTTGAAGTCACTTCCCACAAAAGAAAACTGATGCAACCCCTTCCATCTATCAGCCCTGTCCATACACAGCATGCTGGGTCTCCCTGACCGTTTTAAAATGCCTTGCACAACGATTTAGGCCTTTTTATCCTTTAGTGCTTTGCTCTTGACTCCCTTTCTCTGTTGTCAGTTGTGGCATGTGCAGAGAAGTGCCTGTTTAACCTCCAAACGTGACAGAAACAACAGCAGCAGGCCGACAGCTCTTTTTCATTACAGCACATTTCATCTCAACCGAGGAAACATCTTACAGCAATCACGTCTGGTGTGACTGCAGTGCCGCCACTGGCACAAACGATTTCCTCTATGTGTGCACTACACATGACATGTTGTGCCAATGCCTATTTCCCCGTGGCCATATCCATACCTTGGCCCTGCACATCCCTTTTCAAAGGAGTCAACAAAAGCCTTTTTACTGTTCCTAGCCCCAAAGCCACTGTCACTGCTCCGTAAACAGAAGGAGCAGAGGCGTTTCAGACCCTTCCTGAAGGCAGAGTTGGAGAGGCTGTAGATGAGACAGTTACAAAAGCTGTTGCTGATTGCCAGCCACGTGGTGAAGAAGGAGGCTGCAGGGTGGTGGTAGATCCCTCCACTCTCCAACAGAAAGTAGAGGATGTAGGGCAACCAAAGGACATAAAACACGCTGGTAATGCGGAACAGTACCATAGCGTATCGCTTGTCTGGGTACGCTGATGGGGGCTGCTGGTAGTATGGCTGGTGGTGTTGGTTTTTTTGTGGTTGAGAGAAGTGAGGCAGCTGCCCTTGTCCTACTGCACTGTGGTCCCTGACCACAGATCCCACTGTCATTCCTGGACCCTGCTGTTGGGGTCGGTAACGTGCATGGCGCTCGCTGATCTCCCGGGTGTGTTGTCGGCAGATTTTGAAGATGTTGGCATAGGTGAAACAAACAGTGAGAGTGGCAGGAGCGTAGAGCAGTGCAACAATAAAGGTCGTGAATGCAGGACTAGTCTTCCACTGAATTGCGCACCACTCCACCATATCGCCATGGTAACCAGGTTTCCCCCACCCAAAAAAAGATGGGAGAAACACCAGAGCAGAGTACAACCATATCAGAACAATGCAGCAGCGCACTCGACAAGGTGTCACTAGGCATGCGTAAGTCAGGGGTCGTGTGATGGCAATATAACGGTCTACACTTACACATGCTAACGATGCCATTGAAACTGACTTCAAAACAGACACCATGTACCCAAACACCTGGCAGGTGAGTTTGGGGTCGAGGTCCTGCAGGTGATGGAGAAGGAATAGGGAGGGGAACAGACAGCTGACCCCCACCAGCAGATCAGCATATGCCATAGTCTGGATGAAAGCACTGGTTGTGTGCTGGCTAAGCAAGGGTGCACAGTGAAACACAAAAATCACCACCAGGTTCCCAAAAATAATGAGAACAGTGAGGGGAAGTATGATAGAGACTTCTAGGAGGCATGTGGTGAAAATCTGGGAATAGCGTATCTCAAGCAGGCAGAAGGGAGAGGAGAAGTTGGTCAGGTCAGAAGAGCTCTGAGTCAGTGGATCCTGTGAGGAATTCATCATCTTGGGTAGGAATATGTATCAGAGGGGCCCCTTCAAGGGTACAATGAACCCAAGAACCCAGTATTTTGTCAGGTAGCTGGCAGGTCCTGAAAGTAGCTCTATGGTTTCAGTCCAAATGATAAGCTCCACACTGCGGTTCCATGATCAGGCTGCTGTCAGCTGCCATTTCAAATGCATGAAGGACAGAAAGGGCAGAAGGGTGAGGAAGCCCCATGTATTTGTCCCCAGTGCAGGTAGTTGTGTTTTTACACAAAATACCTGCATTACTTTTCTTTTATCACAGTAAAGCAAACTTCCCAGCTGAAGGCACAAAGAAGAAAAAAAATCTGATAAAAATGTGACTTTGTCTAAAAGAATTCAGGTCCAATTATGTTTGAAATACCCCCACTCCCTATAAAGTCAGAGATGTCTTCAACATCTGCTGCAGCTGCAGAAGGCACAGACTGAAGCTCTCTCTTATCTGTCTGAAGCCCACAATGTCATAAACACAGCTTCCAGTGAACATTACTGTGCAATGAGCCGGATATAAATTGTTGGAGGGAGACAAGAAACATAATTTCTCTTTTTTTCTGTCCTTTAAATCCACGTTTGTCCTGCTTCTCCTTCCTCTTCCTTCTTGCTGTCCCTTTAGCCTTTTTTCATCACTCTTCAATGTTCCCTTGCTCTTCTGTCTGGTTGTTCGCAGGACGATCACAGCAGACTAGTGTCAGCTGAGAGGATGAAGGCAGTGCATGGGGTGACTGGTGTTCATAACATTCACACACACACACATACAAACACACCTCAGCTGCTGTTTCTATCCAGAAGAACAGCAACTATGTCTGAAGTGGAAATGAGGTAGGCAGAAATAACGATGCTCGGAGAACCCCCGTGTTCGCTTATCCTGCCTCTCTCTCCCTCACTCTGTCTCGCTCCCTGTGCCTCTCTCTCTACAGAAACAGTGACACTGAGGCCCCTCCCCTACCCTGTGGCTCCAACCAATGATCAGCTGCAAAGGCACGAGGTTCCTGCTTCCCCCACCTTTTCACTCCTCCCCCACATTTTCGTGCCAGGGTTTCTCACAATTTCCCAAGATTCAAACATATCGTTTCACACTGCTAAAATTGTTCACATTCATTTCCAACGTCCTTCCTAAAAGCCAGGAACTTGTGAGCTCTAAGAATCTGGACATTGTCTTTCTACAGACAAAAAGTTTTATTTGTCTGCAGTGAAACAATAAGTGCATGCCAGAGTGCAAATATAATGAATCTGACTCTAAGCCAAGTACAGATCAGCAGATTCCCTGATGGCTTTGTACATCCTAGCATGCTGAATGTAATGCAATAAATAAATTACTTCAAATTTAGTCATTTTTATATCTGTATTCTGCTAATGATAAACTGCTGCAACATTCAAGCTTAAAAGACTAAGAGAGCAACTTATATACATGAAAGCGCACAACAAAATTTAATTTGGGCTCACAGTCTGTGTGTAATTAGCAGCTGATCCATTAACGCAGCAAGTAATTAGCAACTGAGTCTGCCTCCTAGGTGCAAACTGCAAGCAAAGGAAAGCTTGTAAGGTGCAATTCAGATTATTGAAAAAAGCTGCACAATATAAATGTGCTACTGTATATCCACAGTGTATTAGTGTAGCTCAGCAGCTAGAGTATCATGTAGAAATGGACAGCCTTTTCCTGACTCTTAATTACAGCAGAAAGTCAGGATAGCAACAATAATAATAATAATAATACCGTTAATAGAACATAAATGTGTTACATTTAAAAATGTCCACGTTCATATACATAGTACTACTGCCCTGTCCAACAAAGTTATTTATGTAATGTACTATATAATTAAATTTTTTTTTTTTTTTAACTTTCCAACTTTACTATATGTGTGCATGTGTCTCCAAAAGAGCAAGAGAGAGAGAAACAAAGAGAGACCGCAACACTATCAACATTTAAAAATCTACAGTAAAAATATTCTTATGGGTGTACAAGAACCAATATAAACCCAGTACAGGCAAGATCCCAACATTTTCCGATTGTAGTTATACTTTCCACGTTTCAGAATATTTTCGCTTGAACCAACTCTGTCCACGTATTTGTGTGTGCACATATCCCTTTGTTTGTTTGGTCTGACAGCTCTAAACAGCTGTGCACCTCCTCCTGATTTAGCATGCATCAGCAGGCGCTGCACCTCTAACTATGCATGATAACATATGACATTTTCAATGTCCTGCCTGGCAACATCAGCAACCATCATTTTATCGCAAGGTCTGGTCAGAACATTTTTAATCCATTATCTTAATGTACCCAAATCAAGTCCCCCTCAGCCTGCAAAGAACCTGCTGAATCTGTGAACCTATGCTAGATTAATTACCAAATTAGTTATATTTAGATCATATGATGTCATTATTAGATGACTTTCTCAGGGCTGCAGAGTTTGTTTCGTGCAGGGCAAGTGGGTGTAGCATGAGGGAGACGCAAACATACCCACACAGCCACACCTACACACAGCAGTCTGCATCTTTCCTGCAGTCCAGACACACTCCCATGCTTTCACGCACCTCCTCTGCCGACCACACGAGGAGCTAAAAATAGATGACAGTATGACAAAAAGGGTTGGAAAAAGAGGAGGAAAGGGAGAAAAGAATGAGGGAGGGAATAAAAGATGAGAAGAAGAAAAGGTAGAGGAGAGAAAGAAACAGAAGATCGCAAGGACAAAACAGCAAGAAGAAATGAGTACTGTGAAAACAAGAAAGAAAGGGAAGTCTGATTGCTAGCAGTCATGTTGTCTGTCTCAGTTCTGCTTCCCCACAGCTTGGCAACCTCTCAGGGACAGGCATCCAGTAGCCAACACACACCTGGCTACAACACAATGGCCCTACAATTCTGTAGAGCATGACTGCTAATAAGGGACAAGAGCTAATAAGGGACAGGAGCTAATAAGGGACAGGGAAAATCTCCTTATTACAATTATTACTATTAGGAGCGAATTACTGTTCATATACTCATGTCAAATGATTAGAATTAGTATTGGTTAACATCATGATTTAAATTTTAACAATAACTACATTAGTATAATTATTTTTAGGGTGAAATGCAACTCCTGTTTAATATGACTAGTGATACATCTGTAGAATAATGGTAAATGTTTTGCAGTTTTTCTTAAATAACAAAAAAAAGAGCCAAAACCTTCTGTTGATAAGCTAAGACTAAGACAATTAACCTGCAACTGCAATACTGGCTGACTCTTATCTGATTAAATTACTATTAATTATTAATACCCACCATCCGCAAACCACCCAGCCCGTGGCTCATAATCCTGAAAATTCTGTTTTGTTTTTATATAAATATGGAAATAACCAGTCACTGCGAGCCAACTTCTGCACCAGTGTCATGTTAACAAACATAAACAGAACTGGTCAGACTCGTATTTGGAGTTTCTATTAATCAGTGAAATGTGTGGTAGGCAGTCACACACAGATGTAAACACATTACAGTAGGAGGATAACACAAGAAAAATAAACCCTGCAAACATTCAACTACAAAAATTACTCAAATTCTTTCATCTGACTGTCTGAACTTTCTAGCATTCGCTGCAAGATTTGAAGTGGGAATCGGGCTTCAAAACCAGATAAAACATCTGCAAGAATTTCCAGTTGTACCTAGTTAGCTGAGGTCAGAGCAGCAACGCACACATAAACCTATGGGCCAGAAAAAAAAAAAAGAAAGAAACAGCAGATACGATGGACAAGTAAGACAACAGGAGACAAGAAAGAAAAAGGCAAGCAGACAGTGTGATAAACCACACAGGCAGACAGAGCGAGGAAGGAAGACACATGGATTGACAGGAGCACAAACTGGTCTAGGAATAAGTCAGAAAGCGTCAAAGTCAGGCAAGCACAAACATACTTGATTATAAAGAGAGATAGACAGAGAGGCAGGCAAACAGATCATTATGTAGGTCAGACAGAGACAGGCAGGCAGGCAGGTAGTTATAAGTGCTTGTTTTTGCGCTCCGTTGGAAGCTGGTGCAGCAAGTCTGGGAACTGAGCCTGTTTATCTGATCACCATGTGACTACATGATGCACATACATGTGTGACTGTATCCTTATATAGACACCTGAAGAGATTTTGAACATCCTGTTCCCCCATGTGGGTAAAGGGGAGGATGAGACATTTATAAATATAACTGAATGATCTAGTATTAAATAACAACACCATCAATCACACACAAGCTACTGTAACTACACCCTGAAAAATCACTAAAGAGTTAAATACTCACCCCTAACACTGTCAACACTGCTGAACATTATAAGTTTCAAGCAAATGTACAGATTTACCAGTTCAATAGGTACTGTAGTTCAGCATCTATTATTATTAACACTATAATCAGAACATATTACTTCACTTATATAGAGTAACAGTAAATATGCCCACACTGTGCATGTCTACATATCTTAGCACAGTGGTCCCCAACCACCAGGCCTCTGAACATTTGTTGCTGGGCCATGAGAATAAATTTATATACATTGTTATTACCTCATAGTTGCTGCAGTCTGTCTATGCTGCTCCTAAACACACCATGACATACTACTGCCTCTAACATGACAAAATCATGTTAAGTACTTGCATATATGTTGACTGTTTTGCTGTAATGTGATCACAATGTTACTGTTGCTCAGTGTAATAAAGTGTTCCCTTGGCTAAATCTCACAGTCTTTCCTAAAAAATCCTCTCAATTAAAAGCTGCTGGGATTGGGTGAAACCAATCATCTTTCTACCAGATTAGCAACTATCAGTGACTGGCTTCTACTCTCTAAAATTTATGGAGGTAATGCAAAATTCAGATAATATGCAGAGAACCATTGAGCAATACATTCAAAACACTTTTCAACATTTTAGACTTGTTCTATGAGTAAGATCTTTTGTGTCTTAGTTCTAGTTTGATTTTAAAATTCATCATAATTGAGTATATGCACATAATCTTTCTGTCCTTTAACTGTTCTTGGCTACTTTGGCCAGTCTTGATCTAAGGAGACTAAATAAAATGCAAATCTTCTGTCAGATTTAGCAGCACGTGTTCTCCATACTTCTCTCTGTGTGATTCTTGGCTGACGTACAAATCAGGAATACTTTAGTGCCTCTCCAACACATTTCTTTCCAACTTTCTGTCCAGTGGGTATCAATACAGTGGCTTACTGATCTATTGTTATAGCTTTCTTTGTGAAAGTTTAGATTCCACTCATACCATTCATGCTAACAAAAAAGGACAGAGATAACAAAAGTGCAAAGGAGCAAGGGAAATGTGGTCATGGAAAAAGAAGAAAGTAAGCATGGGGGAAGGAAGGGCAAGACCAACATCTTGTCACCACCTGGGACCCAGTTTGCTGCCCGGGGATGTTGCCTTTGCATAAGAACAGTGGACAAAACTGAGGCTGAGAAAAAAAAATTACAAAGACTAACAAACCATTCTGAGCACACAGGGGGGCTAGCCATCTACAGGGCTAAGTCACCTCCAATCCTTACACACACACACGACTATGGAGAAAGACCTATGCGTGCACTCTGTGCTTCTCCAACTTGAACACACATAAAAACACAGATTTGTTAAAAAAAAAAAGAAAAAGAAAAAGAGGAGCTACTGTCGGCAGAGACAACGTCAACACAAAGCAGCTGTGACAAACCAAATGCTAAAAATACCCCTATGAAATCATCATAATTGAATAATAACAATAAAATTATCATTTCAGATCGCAGACTATGTAGCTTAATACATGCAATTTCTGACCATTTTCCAGGAAGTCACAAAACTGGAACACTAATCTTTTATCCTGGCTGCAACAGCTAAAATGGTTTTAATTAGTGAGTCACAAAATCATATTGAGTCTTTAGAAAAAAGTGACAGTTGATTCCTTTGTTCTTCTTGTATAAACATTTCACTAACAGTGATCACAAGCCTAAAGCACATAAAGGAGAAACTTAAAAAACAGGGGCACCCGGTCCCTGGGGTGGACTCTGAAAGAAATAAAACTTAACCACAAATATTACCAAGGACAATAGCAGTAACACACATGCTTGGGCCAATAAAAACCAAAAGTCCTAAATGAGGCTAGTATTGCCTTCGTTTGGTAGTATTTGCAAGTTGCTATGCATTAATCAGATTCCTTTCTGCCCATGTTATTTCTTGAAACAGGAAAACTGAAATGCTGCCACACAATGGATCTAAAAGTCAATGATGGAGTGTCAAATTCTGTGACCTGAAGACAGTTATACGAGTGAAATAATTATATGTAATATCCTGGTAGATACAGTGACAGTACCACGGTGGTATCAAGACATTTTTCTATTGCAATAACATGAAATTACTAATATTGTTACATCCCTACTAATAATGGCTTCAGCTTAAACAAAAGATTTAGAAGGGTTGTTGTGCATGGCATCCTAAAATGAACAGTGAGTCACTGTGTTGAAGGTTTCCAGCCATTCCGATGACTCCACCACCAACATTAAGCCATCGTGGAAATTTGGTATGTCCTGATTATTTTAACAGCAACAATAACTGCATGGTATGTGGTCTTACCTTAGTAATAAGAGTGCGGTACTCCTCTACCTGGTGGTCATTGTTATGGCAACCTGCCAGGAGCTGCCACACCTCCCCACGAAGAGCCTCAGGAATTCCACTCCGCACCAAAGCTGGCAGCTGCCGGGGTCGCACTGATAGGTTCATATGCCTGAGAAGAAAGAGAAGAGGACAGTCAACCATAGAAGTTTACTTCATTGTTGTTTATTCAATCAATCGTTAAAGTACAGCACACTGTGGACTCCCTCGTTACATGCAATTGTGCAGCTGCAATCTTCGGTGCACACCTGCCAAAAGTATCTACCCAAAACGTTTCACTGGGCCCAGACTGTGTATAAACAGGACTATTATTGCTTTTCCAGATTGTCTGCTGGGCCAAGATAATGACAACGGGGAGGAGATGTATCATCTAATACCACAAATATAATGATTTACATGAGCAGCAGTCTTTCAAAATTCTTGCTGCCCTTAAGGGAAACAATCAATCAAGGACTAATATGTCACTTTTTCAGACTGAAATATGTGCTATTTTTGTACTGAAAATGCACGATTTATTGTTGAAATTAATTTTCACCTTTTTCCCCTGACATTAGTTTTACTTACTTTTACTTTATTTTACCCCTGTCTTATTTTTAGCAGATGGGGAAAAAAGGACAGCAGAATACAATAAGCCTGCAGAAAAACACAGCAATAATAGATATGAAGCCATTTCAATTCATTCTCTCCTCATCTTCACATTTAAATGTTTAATCTGTTGGGAAAACTCCATTTTAGAGTGATAAACAATCTATGAGATTAAATTAGAAATAGAGGAAAAAGGAGAAGGTAACCCTGGAGACACAGCTGTACCTGAGCCAACAGAAAACCCCTGAATCCCCAATGAGTCTCACTTTAACCCCCTCTCTTAATTTAAGTTCTGAGTTTGTCTTTTTTTTTTTTTATTTGCTCCGAGCTTCAGGTTATGCAATATGTGGCATTTTCAATTGGAACTAAGGGTAAGCAAAAGAATATTGTGCTAACGTATGTGCACATGTGGGTACACGCCATGTGATGTAACTATTGCCAGGCCTAGTCCTTAGGAGCAGGAGCTTGTAAAGGGCTGTCTGTGATTTGCCTCCCCGAGCGCTACACTCCACAATGCCACAGCACTCGCACTCATACTCACACACAAAGCCTAGTATTATAACAGGCTAGTCTCATGATTCCTTTCTTTATTGTAGGGGACATTTACTTTAATGAAATTGTGTATGTTCATATTTACTAAGCAGTCGCAGTGCGGTTTTGAGGTAGAGAAAAATAAGAGAAGCAGCAATGCTGGAATTTGCAGGTTGCAAATTCATGCAATATGTATTTTAAGGCATTACAATTCAGGGACACAAAAATGAGCAGGAGAGATTGGAAATCTCAACATATCCCCTCAGTGCCTGGATCACCATTGCTGTGGCAGAGGAATTACAGCTGAAATTTACAGTCAGGAGAAAGTAATTGTATAATCTGCAGATCTGCTCTCAGCGTGGCAGCTGTTAGTCATCTGAGATCTCTTCAGTTAAGAACATGCTAGAAGAGGACGAGAGTGTTTGTAAATCACATCGTTTGCCAGAATAGAATGTGAGGGTCTTTGACAGGATCTCAGGTCAAACCAGGCTTCAATTACTGAATGAAATAGAAGATGATTTAACTGGCAGGGGACTACGTGATTACTGTTCTGAAATGTGTTTGTTGATTTCTTCATCCATATTAAAGCTCGACCGCTGTAACTTTCTTCTGTACTTCCTTTTGGTGCACACATACACAACAGCCAAGGACGCAAAATAAGGGGGAGAGAAAGAAAATGTATATAAATATCCTCAGCACCTGACTTACCACCTCAGACTGATTGCTGCAGCAGAAAAACTGTGGAGGGGGTCTCTAAATATATGTTTGTACACATTTTACTGTTCTCCAGAAAACATACATGAGAGCAGATAGAGAAAAGGACAGGCATGCCCACTGTATGTGTGTCAGTTTCTATTCAGTCCATCACAAGCTTTTGATTAAAGACAAATGCAGTAATGGGAGAGGAAATCCATCTTAATAAGCAGATTCTCAATGACTCCTGCCTGATGCTTTCTTATCCTGTATATCCACCAAGCCCCCCACACACAGATGTTCATTGTGTGCATGGGTATGTGTGCCCACATTAATTGTAACAGTGATAGAAGGGTGAGGACACAGTGAACAAGGGAACAAAGTCCACTTACCACTTGGATAGTAAGTCCCCCCAGGTCTCCAGGATCTTCTCTGCACACTCCTTGGAAACGTCTCCTGACCCACTGAGTAACGGCTCATCGTTGTCTGAATATAGAACACAGAGTGAAAACAAGTGAGCTCCACTGTTGTCCATTTCCTCCTCACCATTTAAATCTGCCCTTTAAATATTCAAAATAATATACAATTTGCAAGAGCTCATGCATGTGAAATGACTAAATGAAATGTTTACATCACAGGCTGTGTATACTGTATGTTGTGTTGTCTAATGTTGATGGTTTAGTCTGAGCAGTATCTGAGCTGTGGATATGTTAATGCTGAACTTGAACTACAGCTGTCTAACTAAAAGATTTTTTGTTTGTTTGTGTGACAACCCACCTGAGTGCAAAAACAGTTTGGTCTTTTATAACAACTTTACATTTTGTCAGCTGAAAAAAACTGTACTATCTATACCTACTGTGTGATCTAAACATTTACAGTAGGCAATCAGTGGACATGCAGTTCAAAGGAGTAAGACAAATTTGTAGGGGCTCCAAAATTATGACATCAACACACATAGACAGACAGACATACACAGAAAGTACTTCAATTATCTGCCTTTTATTCTCACTCCTACATATCACATTCACACAACATACAAAACACACTCACACCACTGCATAGCTACTGTAAGTACTTTGTGAGGATACAGTACAAACAGTTCTGCAACACTGCATCTGAGCTCTCGTGGGACTCTGCAAACCACAAGCCTATTTTTGGCACAGCCCCACAGGACGTTTTAATTTTTAGGTAAAATATCACTGATAGAGTAAGAGGCTGAAAATGCTTAAACGCAAAATATCTGGAAGCAATAATCGTAATTCAGCTGGGCTGAATGCTAATTAATAATACTTTATATCATGGTGCTAGACAGTACTACAATACTTGTACTATTAAATGGGGAAGATGCATTCTTCTGAAAGAGGTCAGTCCTGTCCAAGGACACCAAGTGGTTCAGCGTTCCAGAATAAAAGCAAACTGTCATTTATATTATCTGCTTTGATGCTGTTTATGTGCCTGACATGATCAAGTATCACAAGTGCTACAAGAAGTCAAAACTATTAATATATGATGCTGCTAGTCAGACTTCTTCTGTGGTTCTATGTGGTAACATTTGTAAAGAATATTTTCACATGGATTAGACCATTTTCCATATCAAGTATTAGATCTTGAATAATACATTTGCTATTTCTTTGTATTTTGTACTTTAAATAAAGACTGTCCCATAAGACGTGGCTCAGCCTAAACTATCCAATCACCTTCCTCTTCATCATCTTCAGGAGGTGAAGGAACCATGGTACCAGCCCCAGTGGGCAAAATGCCGGGACTAGCTGTTGTCTTCCGTTTGTCTCTCTCAGTCTCACTTTCCAAACTCGCCACCTCATACAAAGTGTCAGAGGCAGGACTCTTACGCTCCTTGCGCTCCATCTAAGGACGGAAAACATAAGATAATCTACAGAAAAAATGTCGAGACCATCCTCTGACTGATTGATAGAACATGTGATGCATTTCTTTTTTTAAATACTACTAATTATTTACAAACTCATGGTGTCTTAAACTGATTGCTTTGCATCATTTCAGGTCACACAGCTATTATCAGATGAGATTCACAGTGACTCTCACTTCAATATTCACAGATGAGAGATTGTGCTATGACTTGATATACCTGTCGTAGTTTAAGGTAGAAGGTCTCAGTGTAGCTACGCTTGCTGAAGGGCCAGAACAGCCTGTCATTTGGGGAGCACACTCTGACCCTCGTCTCCAGTAGGAAACGGACTGGTTCCTCCACCTCGGTAATCACCAGGTCCACTGCTGTGGTCATGTACATGAATTTATCTACAAAAACAAAAAATAAATACGTTTTGACTTATTGTGTTTAAAGCTGAATTGTTGGTGTAGGAGGTAAGAATGCAACAAAGTCAGTATCACAATCAGTTGATGTGATCGCCTTGCATGCAACATTATTTATTAACAGACATTTAAGCACAGTTTACATGCCTATTTAATTTTCTCATGCCCATAATTTTCTCATGAATTGCTACAGCCTGATTAGAGGATTCATGCAAATAGTGGAATGTGATTTTAACCCTTGGAAATACTGTATGTCAAATACTGGTGTGAAAATGTGACTGAATAAACAACCGACTATCCAATAAAATGTGAACCAAGAAAGAGGTAACCACTGAAAATCGTTCTGTATTAGTAGAATTTTCCACAAATATTTGCCTGTTACCTTTGGGTGTTTCCTCATTCACAGCATGGAACTGGGGCGTGTTGGGGTTCCAACTTCCTGTGATGATGTAAGACTTCCCATCAGAGCTCTTTCCCATTGACTCCTGAAGAGGGCACAAGTTGGAGGACGTTAGCAAACACACATAAACGCACAACACAAAAACACACACATGAAAACAGTCACCCACCAGGTCTAGCAGGTGCATGTCGCTGTTCTTCACATTTTTCCCTGGGCTGAGCAGAAGACCAAAACACCTGCAGAACAAACACACATGAAAGCACCACACATAAACAAACATGTATATGCAGACACATATACAAACAGGGATGCAACAGAGAGAAAGAGGACAGTGAAATAAATAGAATGACATAAGAAAAGAAACTGAACCCGAGTCAGTACAATAAATCTCTCTACAGAATAAAACTAGTCATAAAAATCTAAATACATTACTCTCCGTCTCTGGGTTTATCATAAAAAAAAACAAATTGCAACACAACTGGAAGTCCACAAAAAAGATGATAGAATGTTTAACTTTTATGGGCCCAGATTTATGTTTAGTTTGATGTATAAAGTGATTAAAATACAGTCAGGGAAAAAATTATTTGAACCCCAGCTGATTTTGTAAGTTTGCCCACTAACAAAGAAATGATCAGTCTACAATTTCAGTGGTAGGTTTATTTGAACAGTGAGAGACAACAATAACAAAAAAAAATCCAGAAAAATGTATTACAAAAAAAGGTATGCATTAATTAGCATTTTCATGAATGAAATAAGTATTTGATCCCCTATCAGTCAGCAAGATCTCTGGCTCACAGGTGTATTTTACACAGGTAACGAGCTGACATTGGGAGCCCTCTCAGCTCGTTACCTGTATAAAAGCATTCAAACAAACCAGATTCCAAACTCTTCACCATGGCCAAGACCAAAGAGCTTTCCAAGGATGTCAGGGACAAGATTGTGGACCTACACAAGGCTGGAATGGGCTACATCGCCAAGCAGCTGGGTGAGAAGGTGACAACAGTTGGTGCGATTATTTGCAAATGGAAGAAACATAAATTAACTGCCAATTTCCCTTGGTCTGGAGCTCCATGCAAGATCTCACCTTGTGGAGTTTCAATGATAATGAGAACGGTGAGGAATCAGCCCAGAACTACTCGGGAGGAACTTGTCAATGATCTCAAGGCAGCTGGGGCCATAGTCACCAAAAAAACAGTTGGTAACACACTACGCCGTGAAGGACTGAAATCCTGCTGTGCCCGCAAGGTCTCCCTGCTCAAGAAGGCACATCTACCGGCCCGTTTGAAGTTTGCCACTGAACATCTGACTGATTCAGAGGAAGACTGGGTGAAAGTGTTGTGGTCAGATGAGACCAAAATC